ACCTCAACAACCAGCGGCGGAATGACGACATGCGGCTGTACATGTCGTCACTGGTCAAGTTTGGGAGGGGGCCAGAGAAAACTACGGTGTCCGACATTGTTTTAGCGTATGTACACACCGATTCCACATTAACTTTAGTGACCTCCGAGCAACGTAATCGGGAGTCATTACCGCCGACGTGTATTACAATCTTACTGTATTTACGTTTATCCTTAGCCAGCAGTTTAAGATAAGACTCAATGTCGCCCGCTCTGGCCCCCAGTATACACATAACTATGGTCCCTGGTTTCGCTAACTTCACGTTCCTCAGAATGGAGCTACCTATCACCAGAGTTGGCTTCTCAGCGGGTGTGTCGCAGAGTGGGGAGAAGCGGTTTGAAACGTGAAGTGGTTGGTGGTTAACCGTGTGCTTCGACTTATGCTTACTCCGGACAGTCACCCAGCCTCCCGGCTGCTCGGGGGTTGCCGGGGGACGGCTAGCAGGAGCGAACGCTACGTCTACGTGGCCCGCACCGGCTACGGGGGTTGGCTGGGTAACTACAGCGGCTAACGACTGAGCTTTCATGGTGCGGAGCCGTGCTTCTAGCTCACTAAGCCTCGCCTCCAATTTATCAAATATACTACACTTGTACCATGTACCATTATCCGTAAGGGAGGCAGAGGAATAGCTGAACATGTGACACACCGAGCAAGAAAGAGCAGGAGAGGTAGGGAATCACCAGGTTAGCTGCTAAGCTAATGCTAACGCTAATAGAAGTAACGTTGACGCTAAACAACGTCCAAGCAACTATTTGATGAACGGTGAGGCGTTTAACAGCGCCTCACATAGATAAGAATTCACTGTTTGTGATGAAAAATATCACGCTACAGTCAACTCAGTATAGCTAGAGCTGTGAAAAGTTCGATGACATCAAACACGCTGACATCAAACACGCTGGCAACAGGAAGTGACAACACGACACGCTTACCGTCAGGTAAGTTCTTCACAGTGGTCTGATTTAAGCCCCAGTAGTCAATACAGGGGCGTAATGAAGCATCCTTCTTTTCAACAAAAAAGAAGCCCGCTCCCAGAGGTGATGAGGAGGGACAAATCAAACCCGAAGCTAGGCTCTCGTTGATATACGTCTCCATGGCCGCTCTCTCCGGACGGGACGAGTTGAACAGCCTGCTGGTGGGGAGAGGGGCTCCAGGGAGAAGATCAAGGGCGCAATCATAAGGGCGGTGGGGGGGGTAGGGTGCGTGCCAACTCTTTGTTGAACACTAGGGCGAGATCCAGATACTCAGGCGGCACGGGGGAAAGATCTGGGGGCGACTGAGGAGCTGCAACCTGACTGGGTTCCGGGGCAGAGGACCTGAGACAGTGAGCGTGACACGAGACGCTCCAACTGGAAATGGACGATGTTTTCCAGTCGAGAAGGGGGTTGTGGAGTTTAAGCCAGGGTATGCCAAGGACAGCTGGTGACAGGGGGGAGGGTATCACATACAACTGTATTGTCTCACTATGGTTGCCAGAAATAGTGACAGAGCGGGGAGCAGTGCGATATGGAACCTTGGAAATTAACCGGCCATCCAGTGCATTGACAGATTTGGGGACTTCTAAGGGCTCGAGAGAGATGTTTGTCTGTGCGGCAAAGTTCTCATCAATGAAATTGTCACCCGAACCCGAATCGATAAATACATGTAGGGGGTAGGACTGGGTGTTGCTCCGGAGCGTAGCCGGAAAGGACATCCGGCCCGGAGAGCGAGACGACGAGGTGTTGCTCACCAGAGTGCTCTCCGTCGCTAGATCTTTTGGCGGGGCCCAGCAGGTTGCAGCATAATGGCCCGCGAGTCCACAGTATAGGCAGAGTCTTAGTTGCATCCGTCGCTGGCGTTCTGAGGGAGATAGGTGAGCTCGACCAAGCTGCATGGGTTCTTCAGAGGGAGCTTGGAGGGCAGAGGGCCTGGCAGGACTCCAAGATGGGAGGCAGGGACGCGCGTGGGCGCGGGGACACTAAACCTGAGGCCTGCGGATGGGACTGGGTTACGGGTCCGTTCAGCTCGTTCTCTCCTCCGTTCCCGGAGACTATTGTCTAGCCTGATAGCTAAAGCAATCAATTGCTCGAGGGAGGTAGAGTCATCTCGAGAGGCCAGCTCGTCCTTTAGCTCCTCAGACAGATTCCTGGAGAACAAGGTCATTAGTGCTAGCTCATCCCATCCACATTCTGCCGCCAAAATCCAGAATTCAATGGAAAAGTCTGCTACTGATCCAGACCCTTGTCTTAACCAAAATAGCCGATTCATGGCCTCTAGTCCTTTAACGGGGTGATCGAAAACTTTACGTAGCTCCGTTGAAAAAATAAGGAAGGAACTCAAAACTGCTGAGTGGCTAGTCCACAACGCAGTGGCCCACTGGGCCGCTTTACCTCTTAATAAATGAACGCAGAAGGCTATCTTAGCCTTGTCGGTGGAGTAACTAGCGGGCTGAAGATCAAAAACTAACGTACAATTTAACAAAAATCTACTGCATGAACCTGGTTCATCAGCGTAAGGTTCCGGAGTGGGAACCCAGGGTTCCTTGGGAGAAACTGAGGGTAAGGTGGCAGGTGGGTTACTCACTGGTGGGGATGTACTGGAGCTGGGAGCCGACAACTGAGCGAGTGCAGAAGTTATCTGCTGCACGCTCTGGGAAAGGGAGTGCAAGGTTTCCATAACTCCACTCAACAGATGATCGTGTTTACCAATCAGGATTCCATGTGAGCTGAGGGCGCCCTGGAGGGCGTCTGGGTTCGCTGGATCCATCTTTTCGGGTCGGATCATTCTGTTAGGGTTGATGAGGATCCAAAAGCAGAACCGGGGACAAAGTCTTGTGGTCAACAAACAAAAATCTTTATTTCTCAAGAGGCTCGTGAGGAGAAGGTCGCGAGTGCAGGATCCGGAGCGAAGGCTGCGTAAGCGTGTTGGCGCGTGCCGTAGAGTCGCGTCGCGCCGACGAGAGGTAATGATCCGATGAGGAGGCCTGTGAGACAGCAGGCTATAACTCGTGTCGGATTGCTGATTCGCCACAGGTGCGGGTAGTGAGAGCGCTCCTCTTGGTCGCCCCGCCCAGCCTGAAAACACAGCAGCGCCAGCCAGCACCCAGGATCAAAATATACAACACTAAATAAAGGCCCAGAAATCATAATCACCACAGCTGTCTTTATAATGAGAACTGTTTTTGTTTCCATCTGAATTCAACATTGTTTCTGTAATGAGAGACCTTCATTTGTTTTGGTTTCTGTCTGAATTCAGCATAATTTCTGTAACAAGAGACCAATATTTGTTTTTGTTTTTTCCAACAAGGTTGTTAGAACATTCTACCCAGCACACAACTTACTTGGAATCGACTCCATTGCCGTTAATGTGGTTCTTTGAGTTTTTCTGTTAAACTTGGTAGCTTAGTTTTGAGCTGTGTGATGATCAATTCTTCACATACAGTAGGCAGCAAGAATTCTTCGGAACTGGAGGGAATTTTGTCTATTGCGGTCCAGTCTTTCTTATAAAAATAATAGTTTTTTCCTGTCCAGGTTTAGCATGGTGCAGTCTATTGTCCGACAAGCACATTTTGAAATGTTTCTAGTTCCTAAAAAGAAAGATTGTACGTGCCCCCTTTTTTCGAAATGAATTGCGTGGGATTGTAAAGAATTTATTGACTGATTTATAACACAGGCCTCAACACAAGTACCCCCAATGGTTTTATGGGGGGGAAGACTGGTATGAATGAAGACATCCAAGTGAAATATTGTTTTATACATTTTTAAAAAAGCTTAATGACTATGAGAAAGGTTCTTTGTGTGTTGAGTGCTACATATTCAATTTTAGTATGTTTTTCAAGCAACCTTTCTTCCCTTTCGTTCGCTCTTTGCTCTAACATCTCCCCTCCCATCTTCTCTCCATTCTGTTTCAAAGTTATTGTAACTGATTAATCTATAATCAATGGCAAAAGTCTATTAATCAAAAGGTATGTATGGCAAGCGCTGAAGAATGGGTACTTATCCGAACTCAAAACGATCATTCTCGCCGTATAATGCTCTGGAGCACAGCAATACCCAAATTAGGTTTATTATTGCATCTTTCCTGACTGCTTCCTCTTTGCTTTTCATGTTTTCCACATGAGTAACTTTGATGCCTTCAAACATCAGTGTTGAATCATGGAGGTTTCTCAAATTTGAAGAGACATAACATACATTCCATAAGAACATTTTTGTGTAAAGTTTAGTTTGCTCAATTACAAAAGGAATATTCTGACTTCCGAAAATGTAATTTTAATTATCCAAAATTGTGTGGTCTTTACTGGGTACAAAATAAGCACTGCATTTTACAGTTGAATGATTTATTTAATTTTCCACCATGCTTTATGTTTAGCTCATTGGCGTTTTGCTGAGGGAACCTGCGCAATGTTTCTACCTCTATAGTTGGCATATAAAAAGTTCTGTCCTCTCTGCTACATTCCATAATGGAACACTGGTGAAATATGCATCAATATGGTGGCTCGGTGACAGATATTTTCACATCCCCACAATTGCTGCAGTCATTATGATATATTTATGCATTTTGTCTCTTCATTACCTGGGAAAAACTAATATGCATGCACATGTGAGCACTTTGTTCACCAGGTCCAATGGTGAACAATGTGCACATTGGATCTGGGCGTTAGAGCTGATAGCGAGCCGGGAGATCAGCAGTTTATTTGTAAAAAAAAAACATTGGGTGGCTGGAACACTAGAAAGGCGCTACATGCTTTCATAATTGATGCATTATTTATTTCCCAAATTATACCAAGTAGCCTTAGAAGAAAAAACTTAACTTCATAATATTTGCTTTGCCAAATAAGAGATTTGTATCCAGAACATTCCCCTTTAAATTTAAATCCATATTATTTTTCCTAAGCAAAAGTGCACTTTCTTACTGATCTGCCCCACAAATATTCTTAAGGTTTTCACCAACTGCCACTTGATCTTGTTTTGTCTGTCTACTTATAGGTCTGCTGACTATGGCACCACCTACACCAAACTCAACCTGATGCCAGGGACAACTATTGTGGTGACAAGCTTTTATATCTGCCCAAACAACAAAAAAAAGGTAGGAAGATACATAGACTTTTTTGAAAAGTCTCGCAGCTAGACTGCTGACAATTTTTATCTATTCTAAATGTCCCTTTATTTTTTTCCATATTTTTTTTATTTTAATGCGCTCTGGCTAAACATTGCCAAACAGGGCAATACAAAATACAATTATAAAGTGGACATTTCAGGTTCAGGGTTAGGGTTTTGTATGTACTTGGAAATGATTTGCCTAAAAAATTAAAAAAATAATTTAATATACGATCATATCATCATCAGATCATATGTTATGCTGTCGTGCTGGTGGGAGTTTTTACCACAAAATGAAGGAGGGGTGCTGGATTTGTTTTGTGAGCGACATTTGTAGAACTGTCCCTCAAAGGATCAAGTAGCTGGGTCACAACATGTAAAGAAAAACATTGAAAAAAAACAAATGAGACCTCAATCTCCAGAGGAAAAAAAATGACGCAGTTATAATGGGTTTGCGTTAAAGTTATAGAATATATATTTTGGTCCCACTTACCCACGTTATAGTTACTCAATCCAGCAGCTGCAGAAAAATGAATTTGATGAATAAAAGATACCAGAAAAGTTTACGCATGAGCCAAGAATTACACTTGTCAACTTAAAACGGATATGCATAGGAACTGCCGTAGTGCAGGGATTGTTGCCCAGGGTTAGGAGAGGGAAGGGAGGGAGGTGTCTAGTAATTTAAACCAAGGATTAAGCTGCTGCTTAACCACACTTCTGACCAGATAGCAGAGGTCTGATAGAAGCTTTCCCCTGTTGATTGAGGACTAGTTGGTCATCAAAGACTTTGATCCTTGTAACTAAATGTCAGTATTCTGCTATGTATGTACTTCTCAGCATCCAAATTCTGAGTCACCAGGTACATTACTTACTTTGAGGGGATGTGCTTCAGGTGAGGGCAAGGAGAACCACGTGAGGGTAATGAGCTGATGATGTGGGAGGATCTGAAATGACAGGGGAGATAGATAGCATGCAGTGAAGATGAAAATAAACTATGATGTGGTCAATTGTGTGACAGAACTCCCCCCTCTTGGGATGGCTCCCGACGTCCTGCTGGGCTGATCTGGGTGTGCTTTGAGGAAGTCCTTGATCAGGGAGGAAGCCAATATGTGGCTCGAGGGAACCCACAAGCGCTCCTCCGGACCGTACCCCTCCCAGTCCACCAGATACTGTAGCCCCCTACCACGTCGACGAGACTTGAGCAAGCAACGGACCGCGTAAGCCGGACCCCCGTCAATGAGCTGGGGGGGAGAAGGGGGTCTGGGGGAGGGTTCAAGTGGACTGTCCTTGACAGGTTGTGGACTGTCCTTGACGGGTTTCACCCTGGAGACATGAAAGGTGCGGTGGATCTTCATGGCCCGTGGCAGCCGAAGTTTAACAGCCGCAGGGTTGACGTCCCGGCAGGGAAAGGGCCCACAAACCGAGGCTCCACTTTTCTGGACTCCACTCTGAGCGGAAGGTCCCGGGCAGACAGCCAGACGCGTTGTTACATTACATTACATGTCATTTAGCTGACGCTTTTATCCAAAGCGACGTACAATAAGTGCATTCAACCATAGGGTACAAACTCAGGAGAACAAGAAACAAGAAAGTGCAATTTCCTCAAATAAGCCAATTTACAATTTGCTATAGATGAGTGACGTTACAAGTACAATTTAAGTGCTACAATTTGTTAGTCTTTAGTCGAGGTAGAGTCTGAAGAGGTGTGTCTTTAGTTTGCGGCGGAAGATGTGAAGGCTCTCTGCGGTCCTGGTGTCTTCAGAGAGCTCGTTCCACCATTTCGGCGCAAGGACAGCGAAGAGTCGAGACCTAGTCGAGTGTTTTGCTCTCAGTGAGGGAGGGACGAGTAGTTTTGCAGATGCAGAGCAGAGAGTGCGGGTTGGGATGTAGGGTTTGACCATGTCCTGGATGTAAGCTGGACCCGATCCATTCACAGCATGGTACGTGAGCACCAATGTTTTGAACTGGATGCGGGCGGCCACCGGTAGCCAGTGAAGAGAGCGGAGGAGTGGAGTAGTGTGGGAGAATTTCGGAAGGTTGAAGACCAGTCGAGCTGCTGCATTCTGAATGAGCTGCAGAGGTCGAATGGCGGTGGCAGGGAGACCTGCCAGGAGGGAGTTGCAGTAGTCCAGGCGGGAGATGACAAGAGCCTGAATCAGTACCTGCGCTGCCTTCTGAGTGAGAAGGGGACGTATTCTCCTGATATTGTAGAGCGTGTATCTACAGGATCGCGTTGTCGCGGCAATGTTGGGAGTCAGGGAGAGTTGGCTGTCGAGTGTGACGCCGAGGTTCTTAGCGGTCGAGGTGGGCGTTAGTACGGAGTTCCCAAATTTGACTGTCAGGTCCTGGGTAAGCGAATCTTTTCCGGGAAAGAGAAGTAGTTCAGTCTTGTCGGGGTTGATTTTCAGATGGTGGGCGGACATCCACTGAGAGATGTCAGTTAGACAGGCAGAGATCCGAGCCGCCACCTGGGTGTCCGAGTTGTCCTGGGGCGTAGCTAGGTGCAAGGGTTCATCGTCTGTTGACTGACCGTTGGTAGCGGTCAGAGGTACGCAGACACCGCTGCATAAACGCCTGTACAGAAGGGACGCTTGCCTCCAGTTCCTGCTCCGGAAAAAGTGGAGGCTGGTATCCCCGGGCACATTGGAAGGGAGAGAGACCGGTGGCCGAGCTGGGCAGTGTGTTGTGGGCATACTCGACCCATAGAAGTTGCTGGGACCAGGAGTGAGGGTTGCGGGAGGAGACGCAGCGTAGTGAGGTCTCCATCTCCTAGTTCATGCGCTCTGCCTGACCATTTGACTGTGGGTGAAATCCAGATGACAAGCTAACGGTGGCCCCCAGTAGCCTTCAAAAACTCAGACCAAAAATGTGAGGTGAATTGTGTCCCCCAATCGGACAACACGTTGATGGGCAGACCATGCAGGCGGAACACTTTCTGCAGTAGTAACTCTGCTGTTTCTTTAGCAGAAGGCAGCTTTGGTAGTGGGATTAGTGCAGAAGGCAGCTTTGGTAGTGGGATTAGTTAGGCTGATTTGGAGAATCGATCAATGATAGTCATAATAAATGTGTTACCTTCAGAGGGGGGTAGGCCGGTTACGAAATCCAATGCGATGTGGGACCAGGGGCAATGAGGGATGGGCAGAGGGTGAAGGAGACCAGATGCTGCTTTGCGAGAGCTCTTATGCTGAGCGCAGATCAGACAGGCACCGACAAATCCCCCTGTGTCCTCCTCCATCGACGACCACCAAAACCGTTGCCTGAGCAGAGCTAGCGTGCGGGTAACTCCAGGGTGACAAGCCAGGCGGGAGGAATGACCCCACTGGAGGACCTGAGGACGGAGATTTGCCGGAACAAACAGACTGTTCTCGGGACAGGCACTGGGAGCAGGTTGCTCCACTTGGGAGCATTTTACTTCTTCCTCCACTTCCCAGGTCACTGCCCCCGACTTTGAGGGCAACTCATGGACTGGAACTGACGAGATAGGGCATCAGGTTAGACGTTCTTTGTGCCAGGACAGTAGGATAGGGTAAACTCAAAACGGCTAAAAACAGAGCCCACCTTGCTTGGCGGGAGTTCAACCGCTTGGCAGAGCAAATATATTCTAAATTCTTGTGGTCCGTCCATACCATAAACGGCTGCTCGGCTCCCTCCAGTCAGTGTCTCCACTCCTCCAGCGCCAGCTTAACTGCTAAAAACTCCCGATCCCCGATCCCATAATTTCTCTCTGTGGGACAGAGGAGGTTTCCGGGAGAAGGTTTCCGGGAGAAGAAAGCACATGGGTGAACTTTCTGATCCGCAGATGACCGCTGTGAGAGAAGAGTCCACCTCCACCACGAACTGGCGAGCGGGATCTGGGAAAACAAGAATGGGGGCAGAGGTGAATTGCATTTTTAATTCACCAAATGACCTTGCTGCCGCAGATTTCCACTAAAATGGCATGTGGGGGGAGGTGAGAGCTGTGAGCGGGGCAGCCACAGAACTGTAGTTGCGGATGAACCGCAGATAGAAATTTGCAGATCCCGGAGAACATAATTTACTAGCCCCTTGAAAACAGCAGGGGCATTGGTGAGACCAAATGGCATGACCAAATATTTATAATGTCCACTGGAAGTATTGAAGGCAGTCTTACACTCATCCCCTTCCCTAATCCTGACCAAATGGTACGCATTACGGAGATACAGACAATAAGTATCCATGAGGGAGGTGAGGGAACAGGTGGAGACAATTAGAAATCAGGGGAGACAATCGACAGGAGACACCCGAGTATCAAAATCAGACGTAAGACGGCACACAAACACAAACTTCACCAACATGTATGACAGTACCCCCCCCTAAGGCCGAATTCCAGGCGGCCTTGGAATGTCCGGGTGGTCTCTGTAAAAATCTCGAACGAGATCAGGGTCCATGATGAGGCTGGGAGCCACCCATTGTCGTTCCTCCGGGCCGTATCCCTCCCAGTCTACGAGGTACTGCCAGCCTCTGCCGCGCTTCTGTACTGCCAACAGTTTCTTCACTGTGTAAGCCACCACCGTCGATCATTCGAGGGGGCGGGGGGGGGGGGGCTTGCGTGACTCCCCCTGCAGGGGCAGTTCCTTGGCCACGAGCCACACTCGCTGGCCGGGCTGATAAGCCGGAGCCGGTCTCAGTCTGCGGTCTGCTGCCCTCTTGACCCTGTCCCCCTGTCTGATCAGCGTCTGGCGAGCTGCTGCCCAGATGCGGCGGAAGCGGCAGACCAGGGTGTGAGCAGAGGGCACAGACACCTCTGGTTCGGACTCTGGGAAAATGGGATGGTTGGTAGCCAAACACAAATTGGAAGGGGGACATACCAGTGGCGGAAGTGGGGAGGGAGTTATGGGCGAACTCGACCCACGTCAGGTGCTTGCTCCAGGCTGCAGGGCACTGCGCCACCATGCACCGGAGGCCGGTTTCCAGCTGTTGGTTATGGCGCTCCGTCTGGCAGTTAGCCTCAGGGTGGTACCCTGATGTAAG